AAATGTTAATTACACGTGTTTGTTGACCCCTAAGTCAAAACAGTAATTACCAAAAAAAAATTCGAATAAAAAACTTTGGGCGCCGTACCCAAGACGATAACTGCCACCATATCCAAAATTTTCGAGATAGGCAGTACCCGCCCCGGATCCGCATAATTCACCCGCCCCGAAAACCACGAACAAGCAATAAGGCAAATCTCAGTCGCTCTAACGAACCAAGTCTGTATTCTGTAATTTCTTTTCCAATATGGATCAGCCTGCAACCGATGAGCTGATTCGAGTCACCCGCGAACCCAACGGGATTGGTTTCGTCACGATCAACCGTCCGAAGTTGCTCAATTCGTTGACCAGAGCGATGATGGTTGACCTGGCTCACGCATTCAAGGCTCTCGACAGAGACGAGACGGTGCAGGTCATTATCTTGTGCGGGTCGGGTAGGGCTTTCTGCTCGGGAGTGGACCTGACGGCTGCTGAGACGGTGTTTAAAGGAGACGTGAAGGATGTGGAGACCGACCCGGTTGCGCAGATGGAACGGTGTAGGAAGCCCATAATCGGAGCTATCAACGGGTTCGCGGTCACGGCCGGGTTCGAGATCTCTCTCGCTTGCGATATCTTAATTGCTTCCAGAGGTGCCAAATTCATTGATACTCATGCTAGGTCTGTCATCACTCTTGAATTTCAATGAATCGTCCATTTATGGTGTCGTTTTCCATTAATTGTCTGGAAGCAGAAAATTCTTGTGATTCATACAAGTTGCTTTTTTATTTTCCTTTCTCCTTGTCTCTGTGTGTGGTCACTGGCATTCCTTATTGGAAGTACTTTTAAGAATCGATACATGAACTTTGAATCATATACATCCTAGTTTTATATGTGTCCAATAAAGAAGGTAGGTGGATTTTTAATGAGAAGTTCAGAAATTATTCTTGCACATTTTGTATCTGGAACTAACCTTAGCTAATCTAATTAGTTTGCCAACTAACAAAATTTCTAGGCATATTGATTGTTGATTACTAATACTTTTTGTTAGATTTGCACATCCATAAAGAGTTTGAAATTTAATTTTCAGATGTTTACTAAAAAGGTGGCTGTGGTTGGTCATTGTTTAAGATATAAGCATTAGCTCTAGAAAACTATATTGAATTTTTATGCCAAAAATATACATAATTATTGAAAATGATGATAAAATTTGGACATATGGTAACAAAAAATTATTACAGAGTGTGAAATGAATAAAAACATTTCACTGTCATTTTGCGCCCTTTGTCGTCAATTTAACAACTCTGTAAGATTTATGAATCAAACATATAGGAATTTAGAAAAATGACAACCCAGAAGTGTTTTTTATAATTGAAGAGAGATTAGGAACTAGAAGTGTTAAAAAGTTCTCATCTCAAGTTTAATCAGAAACCTAAGAAGAGATTCTGCCCGTTAGATAATTAATGTTGTCTAAATGAATTTTATTAATTATGTTTGGGTGCTTGGGATGTGGAAGGTAATGAACTACAGTAGTTTGCTAAGTTCTGTAAATCGACCATTAAAGGTGTAGCTCACAGCTTTCTTTCATATTCTATAACCAGTATAAGACACCATGTTTTTATGGTTGAGCTTGTCGTGTAGCAATATGTATCTGTAATTTAACTAAGTGATCAATTATTTAATATATGGACAATCACATATCTAATTGCTATTGCAGGTTCGGTATATTTCCTTCATGGGGTCTCTCTCAGAAGCTTTCACGGATTATAGGAGCCAACAAAGCTCGAGAAGTATCCTTGACAGCTATGCCACTGACAGCTGAGATGGCTGAGAAATATGGGTTGGTGAACTATGTTGTGGAGGAGAGCCACTTGTTGAAGAAAGCCCGAGAAGTTGCAGAGGCTATAATGAAGAACAACCAAGATATGGTTCTTAGGATAAAGTCCGTCATTAACGATGGCCTGAAGCTGGAACTTGGCCAAGCGCTTGCGCTGGAGAAGGTAATTTCTTTATAATATGAATTCTCTTCTCATGGTGAAATTGCTTTATAATATTAGATTATTTCTTTGTAATATGAATTCCATCTGGTGTGAAATCGAAACAGATCTTGTATGTATATTCTTGATGGCTAACTATTGATCATATCTAGAGCATGGAAAGCAATTTAGCGAGATGCTGATTATGCACTGTTAATTTTCCATCAATCTGAACTGCCAAATTAGTTTGTTATTACGAAAAAGAGAAGAATAGACCATTGATGGCTGAAAGGAAGCTCGTGTCTTAGTTCCAAGCTGACCTTTGCGATTCTTCTATGTGTAATTTAGCATAAGAAACCTACATTATTAATCTGAAAAGCATTAGTAGGACTTGACTTCTCATCCTTGTAGTGGTGAAAGAAGTGGCTGTACTATCTTTACTGAGCCATGATCAGTACGTTTGCTCTGCATGCTTCTCATTTGTATGTTAGCATATTTGTTTTTGTTAAAA